CTGAGGGCTGCTGGGAGCAGGGGGTGGGGCTTGTTGCATGTGCCCGCCCCCTGGGCTCTTTATTGCCGGAGCTCCGCTCCTGTGCGCTCCTGCAGGAAATGACCCCTGGTTTTATCCCCCGCTCTTCACTACCTGAAGGAGTCTCGGAGTGGCTTACAATTGCCTTCTCTTCCTCTCCCCGCAACAGACACCCTGTGAGGTGGGTGGGGCTGAGAGAACTCTGAGAGCGCGGTGACTGACCCAAGGTCACCCAAGCTGGCTTTAGGTGGAGCAGTGGGGAATTAAACCCAAGTCTCCAGATTACAGTCTGCCACTCTTAACCACTACACCAAACTGGCTCTCTGAGAGATCAGGGACTGAGCCGGGGTCCCTCAAGCTGTGCTTCACAGGTGAGCAACCACTGCAGCTACAGAGGGGCTTGTTAAAAACATGGTTCAGATGCACTTATTCATGGGGGCCAATCTCTGCATGCCACACTGCACCCCTGCTCACCTGTTTGTTTACAGCGCAAAGGCAGGGATTTCAGCAGCCATGAACTCAGCAGGGGTTCCTTCATCTCAGCCTCCGTTTGTCCACTGCACTGAGCCACGCTTGCTACAGGGGGATAAGAATACTGGCCTACCTGGGACTTCCGGCCGGGGTAAAATGGCGATTTGACGCACTCTGAAAGTGCTCAGAGTGGACGGTGATTCTTTTTAGCAGTTTGGACGTTCAACGGTCCAACGCAGCTTCCCCCAGGTAGGGGGGACGACTGGCAAGCATCAAGACCCAAGAGAGAGTTGAGATTGGTGTGGCCGAGCCTCGGAGGAGACTCGTGTTACACTTTGATCCCCTCTCTCAAAGCGGGCATTGCTAACAGCATTAAAAGAATACTGGCCTGCCTTTGCAGGACTGCTGGTAGGGACCACGGAGATAATGTACACAGGACTTCTGAATACAGGCCCAGTTCAGACAGTCGTTCAAACTCCTCGGTTTGGATGATCAGAAATGAGCCTGGGACTCACGTGCTCCCCTTTCCCCATGGCACAGACTTTCAGATTTCTGGTTTGGGAAAGCCAGTTGGCTGCTACACCTGAATTTTGATTTGGAAGGCAAGTGTCACCCACCGTTGGCCTATCTGGGCATAGCGGAAGTCAGGGAGGGAATTTAAGCCTGTGTGGGTTGACGTGTCTGGGACCCCAAGGCCAAACACTGCTCTGTCTGAACTGATAATGATGAGTATTATTTCAACACTACATTTCCCCGGAATGTGTCATTACAGAGACTCTATGGATAGAGAGCTGAGTTTGTTAAAATGTTCCCTGGGTTTTTGAGCAAATGGTTATAAGTATTTCAGAAACACCCCAGTACTTTGGGGCCTGATTCCTGCCTTCCTCTTTTACACCAAGGCAGCTCCTACCTTAATTCTTCATTTGCGGCTTTAAGGTCTACATCCTTCCTGTCCACCAGCTTGGACATCTCATACAGCTTCTCTCGGAGCTGGTTCAGTTCTTGCGCCAGGCTGTGGACCAGACTGCGCTTCTGCTCCAGTTCCATCTTTTGCTTTTCACTCAGTTCTCCTACAGACACACAGGAAGCCCTGTTTACAGGTCACAGTGAATGCACGTATCTACGGCGCATGGCCGGTTTTTCTTTCTGTGCACGTTATCGAATAATTCTCATCTTACATTCAAGGCACCTACAGCGGAAGGTATTATTTAAACCCTGTTTTTATGGTCCTGGTCCCCAGTGTCATTTGTAAAGTGAAAGCGTATTACTTCTTTCTTACAGGCAGACTATGCACATAGATGCAGGACGTACATGTGAACAGGGCCAAGGCAAGGGAGAGACGGAAGTGGTTTTGGGCTGAATGAGTACTACTGCCTGCAAGGCAAACAAGCTGTTTTGGTTCCCAAGGTTTACCGCATGGAGAAGGCTCTTGTCGCCAACCATGCTGAGCTCTCCACATGCCCCAGAAAAGGGGAAACGTAGGGCTGCTTAATTCTGACTAATCCTGGAACAGCTGGTGCCCAATACATCTAAGAGACATCCATCTGCTAACCCTGGTTAGGAGATCCAGAGTGCCCCAGGGACTCTCACCCTCCTTCCCCTCCTTTCATACGCATGCATCCTCCCCTTCCTTCCATTTTTGGTGCTAACCATGGCACACTGTTGCATCTTCAGTAATACTAATGTTTACTGGGGTTGGTTACAAACCAGAGTTTGCAGCCAAGTCCGCAGGAGTCATGTCCAAACTAGCTTTACAAATCCTGATTCAGTCTATAGCCAAATATACATACCACTTCCAATATGACACTGGACCAGTTCTGAGAAGGAAAGGAAGGAGGGAGAATTCACACATTAAAGGGAGAAGGAGGGAGAGGAAAGGGATGTGTGAGCTGGCAGGCACTTCCAGTCTTGTAACTGGATTTAGGAGATTTGGAGACGTTAGTTCTGACCGAAGCCTGCCAATGGAGGAGGCCCTCTCATGATTAAAGTTTTGTGTACCACTTCAGTTCAACAAGGACTGCTTTGGGAGACATTCCCCCGAGACAGTTTTACAAATCTGCAATTCCTACTTTTCAGACCCCAGACACCTCTTTGTTACCAGGTCAGTTTTGAAAGACTGGAGTTCAACCATTGGTTGCAGTGCTTAGAATCAGTTGTGTTCTCAGCAGAATGTTAATGGGATATGTGATCTAATCTTAAGCGCTCTCTATTCTCTACATTTTAACGGAAGGAAGGGGTTAAAAGACATTTGTTAACAGCCCGCCATTTCACAAACCAATCACGTCGGACATCCTGGCTTTGGCTTCCGAGAGCTCCTTCTTTAGTTCCAAGATTACAGCGTGCTTTGAAAGGATTTCGTGCCTCGCGGCTGCTAATTTTTCCCTGACGTTCACAAGATTAAAAAAACAAAACACACATAACAATGAATGAAACAAAACACACAAAAGCGTTGCAGAACCCAATTTAAGTAAAATATCTTGGTAAGATCAGCTTAATATGTTATTTTAGGAACTTAAAACCGGCTATGATGAATAAGGTTTATGATCATTTCCCCATCTCATCAAGGATGGCAGTTAATTTGTACTACAGGCCAGTGTTCCCTCTAAGCTGAGTTGGTGTGAGCTAGCTCACAGCTTTTTAGCCTCCAGCTCACACATTTCTGCCTTAGCTCAGGAAGGAGGGCTCCGGAGCCAATTAGTGTATGCAGCAGCCAAAACTGCTCGCTCACGACTTTAACGCCAGCAGCTCACAAGGTGGGATTTTTGCTCACAAGACTCCACAGCTTAGAGGGAGCATTGCTAGACGTAGAGGGGTTAGAGTTCATCATAATGGGGCGCAAATGAACATGCATTAAATACAGAGGCTCGCCATGCTTGTGAATGTGTCTTGAGCTCCTTGCTGATGCACACCTGACTGTAGCGTACCAGTGAAATGAATGCTGATAGGCTAAAGCCAAATTTCCCAGTGGCAGGACACATCAGCGACGACCATGTCTTGCCGCTGTAATCTCCTCCTGTCTCAGGCAGCGGGGGCCTTTGTCCCCAGAGAGGGGGAAGTAAGGTGGTGCCAGCACTGCAATGGGTCCCTCTAAGCTGTGGAGTCTTGTGAGCAAACTTTCTACTTTGTGAGCTACTGGCAATAAAGTTGTGAGCACGTAATTTGGCTACTGCATAAATTAGTTTGCTCTGGAGCCATCCTTCCTGAGCTAAGACAAAAATGTGTGAGCCGGAGACTAAGAAACTGTGAGCTAGCTCACGCTAATACAGCTTAGAAAGAACACATAGTGGAGCCACCTGCTATGGGAAGGCATGACTGTAGCACATCAACATTAGATTAGTTGGTTGCACTACAAGTGCAAACGTGTTGAACAGTACTTCACGTCTCTTTCTGATGTACATGTCCTAAGTATACATTCATCTTACATTACCAAGGTGAGAGACTAGTCAGAAAAACCTCCAAGTATTTATTCTTAGTATAGTTGTTCCAGCCCCTCCAGCCCAAGCTAGTCTGATCTCATTAGATCTTGGAAGCTAAGCAGGGTCAGGCCTGGTTAGTACTTGGGATGGGAGACCACCAAGGAAGCCCAGGGTTGCTACAGAGAGGCAAGCAAGGGCAAACCACCTCTGGTCATCTCTTGCCTTGAAAATCCTATCGGGGGTCACCAAAAGTCTGCTACGGCTTGATGGCACTTCCTACCACCTCCATAGTTATCTAGAATTTTTGCAAGGTTTCAGCTTCTGCTTATACTTTTTGATCAAAAGACACTGGAAACCAACTAAATACTTATCTGCTTACATCATAAAAACATGGTCCCCCTTGGTGCAAGAAACCTCTTGTGACTGGGGTGGCGTAAAAACCTCTTGTGATAGGAATGGCACAGAAACGTCCGGTGAAACCGATGGCGTAGAAAACTCTTGCGAAATGGACGGCATAGAAAGCTGTGGTGAAACGGACCGCTTAGACTTGCTAGATTCCCTCTGCATTTCTGAAGAAAGAGCCAAGAATGCACACAGAAAGTTTGAACATAGTCACTGCCAAGGTCAGCAAAATTTCAGCTTTTCTATCTAGGCGAGTGGTTCTGAGTTCCATATGAGGTTTTGGAGAGAGCTCCATAAATGGCATCATTAGCAGCAAAAGCTTGGTAACAGAACACAGAACAGCAAAGCACTAGCAGTCTGTGTCTCTGGAGTCAAACAGGTGCCAAATACTATCAAAGTGAGCTGCTGCATCGGATGATGACTGCAATGGAAAAGCAATACAAAACTGCACTGTTGCTAGTGCCGGTGGGACAGCATCTGGGATCAGTCATCATCCTGAACACACACTCCAACTAGCCCCCACCCACCCCGTACGTTCACTCATGTGATTTTCTACTTGATTCAAAGCTTCTTGGAGTCATGGATACAAAAATAAATGCAAAAATAATTAAAATCCTCTTTTGTGAATCAACACGAGTGGCTATTTCTTTGTTAAACGACGTGGCTGTTTCCATCCTGATAACGGATGCCTCCTTTCTCTTGCACATTACGGAGCACACAGGCTGGGTTCAGGGTCCCCACCCTGTCTCCTTCTAAGCTGTGGAGTCTTGTGAGCAAAAATGCTACTTTGTGAGCTGCTGGCATTAAACTTGTGAGCAGGCGATTTGGCTACTGCATAAATCAGTCTGGGTCCCCACCCTGTCTCCTGTGCAACAGTCAGATGAGAGTCCTGAGTTTTCAGTTCCGGTGCACAGGGTACCCGATTTACACTGTGGCACACATACAGGAAGGGGTTCAGTCTCAGTCTCCCTCCCCACACCATTTTCCCAACCTGAAACGGTCCTGGGGGGGATGCTGTCTAGACTGTTGGGTGTATCCCCCCCCCCTTTCAGCATACACAAGGATTTCCCCTTACCCGGTTTGTCACGGACAATCCTTGGATTTCAAGTCGGGAAAATGACACCGGGGAGAGAAGGCTGAAGACTCTTATCCGTGTTTGCTGTAACAGTGGTTTGACTGGGGCACCACACGTGGTAGAACGAAGAAGAACCCACTACTCACTATGTTGTCGAAGGCTTTCACGGCCAGAGTTCATTAGTTGTAGATTTTCCGGGCTGTATGGCCATGGTCTTGGCATTGTAGGACCTGACGTTTCGCCAGCAGCTGTGACTGGCATCCTCAGAGGTATAACACAGAAAGATGGAGTACTCTCTGCGTCAAGGTGAGAAGAAAAATGCTAGGCAGGTGATTTATATCTACTCAGGAAGGTGGGGTAGGGCTGTGACATGCCAATGGAGGAGCTTTCCTGAGGAGGTTCTTTTGCGTATGGATTGGCTGTTGAAATTCTAATCTTATCTGTAGTGCTTGCTGTAAGATGTAGAGCATTCTGTGTTTTTCAAGGCTGGAAACCATGCCCTATCCATCTTTCTGTGCTATACCTCTGAGGACGCCAGTCACAGCTGCTGGCGAAATGTCAGGCCCTACAATGCCAAGACCACGGCCGTACAGCCCGGAAAATCTACAACTAACCATTACTCGCTGTTACAAAGGACACCAGGTGGGGACCCCCGGACCAAACCTGTGGCCTCTGTAACGTGTCAGCCTCTGAGGCTGTGGAAGCGAAGTAGCTGCACTTGCTACACAAAACAGTTTTGAGCCCAGTGGCACCTTAGAGACTCTCACTGTTCTCCTGCAGACCAACACGGCGACCCTCTGAAATGTGTTACACAAACGTTTCTCTGTGGGGGGGCTGGGGAGTAAAGAAGCACCTTATGTATGAGAATCAGCACCACCCGCAACACAGTTGGCTGAGAAGAGCAGCCAAAAGCAACTTCTTTGCCTTTGCTAAAGGTAAAGGCTTCCCTTGCTCGAAAGCCAGTCGAGTCCGACTCTAGGGTTGCGGTGCTCATCTCCTTTTCAAAGCCGAAGAGCCAGCGCTGTCCGAAGACGTTTCCGTGGTCATGTGGCCAGCATGACTAAACGCCAAGGCGCACGGAACGCTGTTACCTTCCCACCGAAGTGGTACATATTTATCTACTTGCAATTTCTTGCTTTCGAACTGCTGGGTTGGCAGGAGCTGGAATTAGAGACAGGAGCTCACTCCATCATGCGGCACACTCGGGTCTCGAACTGCTGAGCTACCGGCTTTCCACAGCCTGCAGTTCAGCGTCTTAACCACTTGAACCACCGCAGCTCCTTTGCCTTTGCTACCAACCTTCTATTTGCTGCCGAAACTTGAAATTTTCCTCCTTCACCTTCTTCAGGTACTGGGCAGCCTCCGACAGCCTTCCCTCCATAGCGACGATCGTCTGCGAATGTTGCCTGATCTGCTCCTTATATTCTGCAAACTCCTCCTGATGCTTTTGTTTCTGTATTTCTTTTTCATTCTCGATGATTTTCAGCTGTGTCTCCCAGATGGCTAATTTCTCTTCTGCCACCATCTGGAAAAGCCCAACTGACAAGTTATAGGAAAGGCCAGTCGCTCTACAGGTGGCTGGCTCGCCACCAAACCCACAGGGAGCTGGGGAAAGGAGATCTAATGGGTAAAGCTGCAGCTCAGAAGCGGCACCTGCAATTTGCTCGCATGAGGCACCCAGGCCAACCATCTCTGAGATCAGGTGCGACAAAGCTAAACTAATGTTGAGGGCAGCAGGCAAAGATGAAGACCCAACATAAGATGGATTGACCCAGTGAAGAAGAAGAGGAGGAGGAGATTGAATTTATACCCTGCCCTTCACTACCCGAAGGAGCCTCAGAGCAGTTTACAATCTCCTTCCCTTCCCTTTCCCACAACAGATACCCTGTGAGGTAGGTGGGGCTGGGAGAGCTCTCTCGAGAACTGCCCTTGACAGAACAGCTCTGAAAGAACTTACGACTGGCCCAAGGTCACACCAGCAGCTGCATGTGGAGGAGGAGTGGGGGATCAAATCCGGTTGTCCCGAAGAAGAAGAAGAAGAGGAGGAGGAGGAGACTGGATTTATACCCCACCCTTCACTTGGAGTCTCACAGCGACTTACAAACTCCTTTCCCTTCCCCTCCCCACAACAGACACCCTGTGAGGTGGGTGGGGCTGAGAGAGCTCTGACACAAACTGCTCTTTTTCAAGGACAGCTCTTATCAGAACTACGGCTTGCCCAAGGTCATACAGCAGCTGCAAGTGGAAGAGTGGGGAATCAAACCCGGTTCTCCCAGATTAGAGTCCGTGCTCCTAACCACTGCACCAAACTGGCTTGCAAGACCTGAGTTAAGTTTGCAAGACCTGAGTAAGGCTGTTAACGAGAGGACATTTTGGAGGACACTAATTCATAAGGTCGCCATGTCGGAAGTGACTTGAAAGCACCTCTCTCATTCACACACGCACACAATATATACATCTCTCACAAAAGGTATCTGGAGCTGATATCTGGGGACAGCATGGCTGTCCTGAATCTGACAGCTTTCTGAATTGCTGCTCAGGTCAGCAACTACAGAAAGGGGCGCTTAGAGGAGGAGGAGGAGGAGGAGGAGGAGGATTTTTTTTTAGGAGGAGGAGGAGGAGGAGGAGGAGGAGGAGGTGTGTGGACGAAAGCCCTGACCCCTCAGCCCTCTGGTGGCACCTGCCACTCAAGCACCTGCTGCCCCATCCACCCTGAGCTGGCAGATGCCTTCCCTCATGAGGCCAGATTTGGCCCAGGGCACATAGCTGCTGATCCACAAGATTTGCTTTCATCCCCCTGGCAGCGATTACCTTCTTTCTCTTAGCCTCTTCTAGGCTCTCCAAAGTCTCTCTTAGCTTGGCATTCAAAGCCTCCTCTGATTCAATTCTATGTTTAGTTTCCTGCAACAAAGGAAGGAGTCAAGGTACCGCAGAACAAAGAATGGGTTACAAACCATCTGAGAGCAAGACTGAGAGGCTTCAGTCCAATGTGCAGAGAGCACAGCTTTTCAGGGTATCAAAGCACAAAGGGAGTGGTCTGGATTAGAGGGGACGAGATGAGAGAAACAAATAAAACTCACCTCGCTTTCATGCCTAGCTTGGTTATTGTACATATTTATACAGAACACTTATCAGGTTGTTTTGGATCTCCAAGACACTGCACTGGGCAGGGCTTGGCATGAGTTTACATACATGCTGGTGCCAGTGTGGGAGCAGCCGAGCCCATTTTCACTCCCAACTTTTACAACGGGAGATACGTTTTCAACTTCCACACACTATGAAAACCTTCTTCTTGTCTTACTGGGCTTTTGACTCAAAGGCCGTGTGCCTGCACACGGAAGCTTATACCTTGAATTAAAACCTTGTTGGACTCAAACTTTGTTCTTCTGCTTCAGACCAACACGGCTGCCCACCTAAATCCCTCTACGGGCAATCACTGCAGCTAAATATCTAGCAACTGGTAAGGTAGTTTTCCAATCCTCATCCACGAGGAAAAACTGGAATTTTTTTGGGGAGAGATAATAAATTCACATAGCTATTGAGAAGGAGGACGAATACGTTTCTCTCAAATCAGACCGGCTTTCACCCTCCAATAAAATACGTTCTAAAGACTCAAGCTGACCAGGTCCACATTTACTAATCCTGTCCAAATATGCTATGCCTGTGAATTGGCTTTTCAGTACAGCTGAGGGGAAAGAATTTAACTAAGTGAGCATAAATGCTCCTCTGTAACGAAGGGCTATGAAAACCAGTGACAGAAGGGGACTAACTGGGACACTTCCACATCTTAGTACACTTTCGATTGTGAACTATATGTAAGGCCTGAGGTTTTTTGCTTGCTGAACCCAACCAGCTCTATGGTTGTGATCAGGAGTCATTTTGTAGAAAAAGAGGTGCAGGAGCTCATTAGCATAACTTATTTGCATATGCCACACCCCCTAACATCACCAGAAGTGTGTCAGAAGGCAACAACCACCACTCAGGCTCCACTGGACTGTTTTGGATTGCTAGCTATGGGGGGGGGGACGTGCAGATCTGTCCTCACAGAGGAGAGAGAGCTTGTACCTGAATAAAACTTGGTCTTAAAGCTGCCACTGGATTGTTTTGGACCGGTGGGCTGGTGGGGAGGCCTCTGCAACTTACCTGGCTACTTCTTGCTCTGAGGGCTGCTGGGAGCAGGGGGTGGGGCTTGGTGCATGTGCCCACCCCCTGGGCTCTTTACTGCCGGAGCTCCGCTCCTGTGCGCTCCTGCAGAAAATGACCCCTGGTTGTGATCTCTTCTTACCCGTCCTGCACTCTTTTTAGGCAGCCTTTTTAGCTCTGAGGATTGTTCAGCCCTTTGACTGTACATCTTGAATGCCTCCTGAGCAACCTTACATACTGCCTAAGGCTCAAACACCATGCAAACATGGCTTCAGTCCAGACAGTGGTCATGAACCAGCGGAGAATTTGGAACTCTTGAAACGCAAATACAACCACATAAAGGAGATCTTTAAGTGCAATGATGCAAAGATGTCGTAAGCCAACTTCCTTGGACTTCTACAAACCTCAGCCAACCGTTCCATCTCAGTTTTCAAATCCTGGACTTTTTTCTTTTCTCCCTCTATAACTTCGTTTAATTTTTCTTTCTCCAGGGCAGCTGTCTCCTCCAGAATCTGGAAAAGAGTTTTAATTTCATCTGTGAGCATTTTTCTTAGACGAATGAAAGCATAAGTAGCCTGATGACAGATCAGCGAAGGAAAGTGAGGATTCTGGGAGTATTAACTTGTTAGCTATGCAGGGCTTGACATTAAGAAAACATTACAATACTGAAAAGAGAGTGTGAATGGATGGCTGATCACATGACAGGAAGGAGAGTTGGAAGGATCAAGATACATGTTTCTAAAGGGGGACAAAGAATGGATAACATTAGGATAACATCCAAGGCCCTTTTAGATGACTAGGATTGGATCCACATGCTGTTGGGTACTGAGATATTGTCATCACTCTCATCCTCGATTTTCCTGTCCAGATAGGAAAATCTGAGCTGTGAATTATTTCAAAGCAGTCTCTCTAACAACGCATGTGGATCCCATCTAAGCCTAAGCACATGAGATACCTACAGATCTACGGGTTAGAACAGATAAAAGTACTTCTTCACCCAAAGAGTGATTAACACATGGAATTCACTGCCACAAGAGGTGGCAGTGGCTACAAGCATGGACGGCTTCAAGAGGGAATTAGAGAAGCATATGGAGCAGAGGTCCATCAGTGGCTATTAGCCACAAGGTATAGATAGGGACTTTCAGTCTGGGGCTAGTGATGCTCTGTATTCTTTGTGCTTGGGAGGAGGGGGCAACAGTGGGAGGGCTCCTAGTGTCCTGGCCTCACTGCTGGACCACCTGATGGCACCTGGTATTTTTGGCCACTGTGTGACAGAGTGTTGGACTGGATGGGCCATTGGCCTGATCCAACACTGGCTTCTCTTATGTTCTTATGTACAGATATCTGACCCAGGGAGCTTTGACTCTCGAAAGCGAAACCCCACCCCCAAATCTTGTCGTTCTCGAAGGTGCTACTGGACTTGAACCCAGCTCTTCTCTTGCAGACCAACGTGGCAACCCTCTGAAACTATTTGCAAAAATCTATGGCTCTTATCTGTTTATCTCCATGTATGGCTCTTATTGCTCTGGGTTTGCTGCCCTCGGGGTCCTTTCTGGTGGCAGGGCAGGATCTCTGTGTTTCACCTCTCTTTTTACACACATAAATAGTAAATGGGGGGGAAATTCTACCAAAGTAAACAGAATCGCACGTCTTAAGGCTGGGGGGGGAGGCAGTGGCATTGGCCCTCTGTAGACATGGCACTTAAGTCGGCCTTTGTTTTCCTTAAGCAGTGCTGTGGAACACTTGAAGCTAGGACCAGCTTCATACCAGGACCCAAAGATTAAAGTGGGGTTTCAAACCACGGCTTCGATAAACCACTGTTAAGCACTGCACCTGAACCGAGCAAACCATGATTTACCTGGTTTGCTTGCAAGGTGACAAACGGGTTTTGCCAATGTCTCTATATAACTAACCATCCTCCTGGGGCAAAGCTTAGCTCGGCAAACTAAACCACAGAAGATCCAGGGCTCTCCATCAGGATGAAGGCAAGAAGCCATGGCTAATACCAATGATGGTTAAGCTGTACGGACTAGGGTGTTGCCTACAATGTTCCCTCTAAGCTGTGGAGTCTTGTGAGCAAAAAATCTACTTTGTGAGCTACTGGCATTAAAGCTGTGAGCAGCTGATTTGGCTACTGTATAAATTAGTTTGTTTGGAGCCATCCCTCCTGAGCTGAGACCAAAATCTGTGAGTCAGAGGCTAAAAAACTGTGAGCTAGCTCACACTAACTCAGCTTAGAGGGAACACTGGTTGCCTACACTGGGTTGCTATCAGGCCTGCCTTCATGAATGCCTGGGTCTCTGTGTCACTGGAACAACATGAGCAACAAGCACTCAGAAAAGAAAACCGCACTACCCCAGCAGCGCAAGAACCGGCCCTCCGCTTTCCTTTACTTAACAACAGGCATCTCTTTCAGCTTCCTTTTGTAAGAGCCTCATTTCTACAACCTTTCTAGCAATTGCATTTGCACTCGATTCACCGGGATCTAAAACTAGTCTTCTGCAGAGCTTGCAGGGAACGTGTGCTACAAAATACAAGAACTCGTGGGCACTCCATGAAATTGCTGAGCGGTCGGGTTAGAACGGATAAAAGGAAGTCCTTCTTCACCCAAAGAGTGATTAACAACACTTGGAATTCACTGCTACAGGAAGTGGCGGCGGCTACAAGCATGGACGGCTTCAAAAGGGAATTAGATAAGCATCTGGAGCAGAGGTCCGTCACTGGCTATTAGCCACAAGGGATAGATAGGGACTCTGGGGCAAGTGATGCTCTGTCATCTTGGTGCTTGGGGGGGTCAACAGTGGGAGGGCTTCTAATGTCCTGGCCCCACTGGTGGACCTCCTGATGGCACCTGGTATTTCTGGCCACTGTGTGATGTAGAGTGTTGGACTGGATGGGCCTTTGGCCTGATCCAACATTGGCATCTCTTATGTTCTTATGTTGTTAAAAGATAGCAGTCTGGGCTAGGATTCATGAAGCTAGCAGCCCCCCCCCCCCCCCGCACTTTCCCTTTTTCCTAACACGCCCCCCCCCCCCCCCCCGGTACCTTCACTTTGTCCAGGAGTGTTTGCTCTTTGTCCTGGAACTCCTTCTCGAGCTCGGCTTTCATTTCATTCATCTTCTCTCTCAGCAGAGAATGCTGGGACTCTTCTGCCAGCCTTAGCCGGGTCTGCGATGAAAGAGACACATAATCACAGTGCCAGCCAAGCCAAATTAGGAGTGCTCCCCAAGGAAAAGGCTTCTCACCTGTAAGGCTTGAAGCTCGCCCATGGTGCTCAAGTGGTGGTCCGACAGCTTCTTCATGTAGGAGGCCATTCCTTACAAAGAAAAGAGAACCCGGTGAGAAGCCAGGGTGGTGTAGTGCTGAGCGTATCAAACTGGGGAGAGACCTGGCTTCCCGTTCCCACTGAGCCACCGGATGACCTTGGGCTAGTTACTCTTTCTCAAGCGAACCTTCTTCGGACTAGGATCCTGGGGTTTGAAAACCCACTTCTACCATGTAAGTTCGCAGGGTGATATTCGGCCCATCACATATTCTCGGCCTGACCTACCTCACAGGGTTGTTGTGAGAAAATGGCGAAACCAATGCTCTAAGTGGGAGAAAAGCAGGATATAAAGAAATATAAACACGTGCATAAATAAACACATGCCCCTTTGCGGGCTCGTTGCGAGGATGAAATAGAGGAGGGGAGAACTCTTTAGAGGAAAGGTGGGATAAAAATGAAATACCCTGAAGTTCAACCTCACTTTCCCTGCCCTAATCCACCTTCTGGGGACTTAACAGGCAGGGCAGAAGCATGCGTCCCATTTTGGACACATGTCTCATCCCTGCATCAAGGCAAGAGGAAACCCGGGGTCCCTGTTTGCAGCAGAAACTGCTTTGGCAAGGCACAACTGGCAGGTCCTTGTGCCAACCAGGTAGCCATGCCCCTCGTCCATCTTGGGACACAGCTCTGTGCAGTGCAGATTGTCTGGAGCCACTGCACCAACCATGAAGGCACACACACCCCCTTCGCGGAGTAGAGTTTTATGTAACAACCTCAGCCAAGTGTTTCATTGGCGCTCCCAAATCTTGGATCTTTTTCTTTTCTTCCTCTACAACTTAAATGGTTTTTCCCCCCCTTTCTTTCTCCAGGGCAGGCCAAGTTTATATGAGGCGCTAGCTATATTCAAGGTGTGGGATGATGTGGAAGCAGGGATGGAGACGCTCTCTTCCCACTACCCGTTTGCTGGCTGGCCACTTGCCATGGTAGTAGCAAAATGAAGTGCAGTTGGGAGTGGAGGACAGTAGGGAGTTCTTTTCTGGGTTTGATATATAATCTGGGCCAAAGTCCAAGTACAGGTTGCACATCTCACCTTGGTACTTCAGAATTGAGGATTATGAAATGCCTGTATTTCTGAGTGCAGGAAACACATTTCAGCAGCTTTTCTATTACTGGTATCTTGGCAGCACCTCTGTGAGCAATTACCCTGAGGGATGGTCAATCAGCACTATGCAAAGCCAGCTTCCCCCAGATAACAGGAAGAATTGGCTGCTCCATAGCTTGGTCAGGCCTGAGTTCAAATCCCCCCACTCAGCCATGAAGCTCTCTGGATGACCTTGGCCTGATCACCCTGTCTCGGCCTAACTAACGTCATAGGGTTGTTGTGTAGATAAAC